TTGTGACACTAATAAACGTCATTAAACAAAAATAAGCGTCACTAAACACCTTTTTTCTTGTAGTATAGACACCATATCAGTGTAAGTTATATCGTATCACTACTATAAAAATACTTTAAAAGATATTAATATTTTTGCTTTTTTTTTTTAAGCTAAACACCCTGAAAGATGATTCTAACTCATTATGGTTTTTAATAAATATTTATACTGAATGGGATATTACCATGTGCTTTGGTAAGGGAGTGACAAGTAAGGAGTTAAAACTGATCAAAATTAAATCAATATTTTTTTTATTCACTTTAACTTAAAATTTAACTTAACCTTATTATTTCTAATATTATATATCAATGTAGTTAAATAATATAAATCATCTATTTATTAAATCATGTTAACTTTAATTCTTTTCTTTATTCACTTATATATTTTTAACAGCCTATCACTTCCATCATACTTCTCATAATTTTACATCACATAAACTTTAATTATTATATTTTAAATATAATTTGATTACAACATCTCTCTTCTCACTCGATAAACTTTATTCAAAGTAGATCAATTTAACTAAGAATCAATTTTGATCGATTTTAATTGATTTTGACTGCTTACCAATAATCTCTTAATTCTTTTTTCTTTTTGCTCATAATCATATATATAACACCTTTATTTGGCCCAAAAACACAGCGCATTTGCCATAATGGCATATATCCTCTCCATCTCAAGAGTCAAGGCATACTTTTGACTTTGTATTAAGCTTGTAAATAAGTACTATTTGTTTTTAATTTTTTTCGTTTCAATTCATTCTCAATCCACAATCAAATTATGACTCAATTTTAACTTAACAATATAATTTTTAATATTATCAATATAATTAAATAATATCAATTATTCATTCTTACATATGATCACATCAACTTTAATTCACTATCTATCAACTTACATAAATTTAACTAATTATATATCCCATACTTTTACATCATACCTTTATTTTAACTATTATATTAATATAAACTCCAGATTCCAATAACAACTAACCATCTATATATTTTTTTTTTCAAATTAACCATGATTAAAAAATAAAAATAAAAAATAAAAAAGAATTGTTTTGAGTGGATGTATTTGTATCCAAGCATGCCCTAAGTAGCTAATTTATTATATTCTAAATTCTAAACCCAAGATGAACTGAATTAGGCAATATTTTCAACTCTTATCGGGATTCGAAATGCATAAATTAGGTTTCTGGTTGAACTGAAGAATCACACAAAAAATATTAACGGGTTGAAATTTGATAGGGTTGAAATTTGATAGTGTTTGAAATTTGATTTCAATATCATTAATTATAAATTTTGAAATATCTGACTTGCGAGTCCTTATTTTTATTATACTTATGATGATTCTACATGTTTTTCGTATACATCTCACCGTCTCAATGTAATCGACCCCTCTTCTCCTGGCAATCTATGCCCAATGAATACCAGGAAAGATCTTAAATTCTTTTTACAATTTTGTAATGGTTAAATAATCTTACCATTTTTTATTTTAATTTTTTCCAATTTTTTCGCTTTCAACTTCTTAAAATGTTGAAGATCCTTTATACTATATTTGTGTTGATCTCTTAGTTGAAATCTTTATCATGTTTTGAAAAACTTGACTGACTTTATTTAAACTAATTACGTTCATCAACAACAACAACAACAAAGTCTTTAAATCCCAAACAAGTTGGGGTAGACTAGAGATGAAACACAAGAGAAACTAATTACGTTCATCAATGAATAAAATTATTGATTTATTTATTTAATAAAAAAAAAACTAAAGCTTGAACCATTAAAATATAAAATACACGTTGTTTGGACGAATTTAGTAAAACCTAGATGATAAAATGGGACATTTTCTTAATAAATTAATGTATTTCATTGAATCACACAATTTTATATGCCATAATATATAAAAAAAAAAAAAATACTAATGCAATTTCAACCGTCTTCATATTCAAAATAATCCACAATCCTGTTGATAAGAAGATATTCATAATATTTAAATAATATATATGCCACACTTTAAAGGTATTATTTAGTTTTAAACATTTATTACTTATATTTAACGTCCATCTTATTTGTGAACTTTCACTTTATAGGTCAACTAGTACAACGCCCGTGTATTACATGGGTGCTTGCTAATTTTTCCTTAAAATCTAAAATTATTGAGAAAAAATAGTTGAAAATTTAAATAACTTTTATAAAAATATATATAATTATATATTTAGTATGACACTTTTTATTTGTGTGACTTACTTGTGTTATATTATAATAATTTTTTTAACTTACAACATATAACTACATTAAACAAAAATATATCAATTGAGAAATAATTTTATTTTTCTGATAAAAATTAATAAATATTATTTTTTATTATTATAAAGGTAAATATTATTTATTTATTTTATATATACAATATGGATGTCAAATCGAAGATCATGAAAAGATGATTAATTTGATATATTATATATGAAAACCGATAAGAAATACAAAAGTTATCAACTTTTAAAATACATTTATAATTCAATAGCTAATTGAAGGAAACAAATCAAAAGTCAGTGATATATTAGTCACTTAGTGTCTCACTATCTAAAATTACAAAGAATTAAAGGGCTATATTAGTACAAGTGATATTAAAATACCTAAGTTAGCTAAATAATATTTATGGAATGTCCGAACCTAGATATTAATTATTAATATATCAATATTATTTGTCCGAACCTAATTACGAAGCATGATTCTTCGCCAAGTAGGATTCCGAAGCACCAGAAACAGCCACGTAGGCTCAGCGCATTCGGGAATTATATATACAATATGGATGTCAAATCGAAGATCATGAAAAGATGATTAATTTGATATATTATATATGTAAAACCGATAAGAATACAAAAGTTATCAACTTTTAAAATCCTCCCTATATAATTCTCGAATGCGCTGAGCCTACGTGACTGTTTCTGGTGCTTCGGAATCCTATTTGGCGAAGAATCATGCTTCGTAATTAGGTTTGGATAAATAATATTGATATATTAATAATTAATAATCTAGATTCCGGTATTCCATAAATATTATTTAGTTAACTTAGGTATTTTAATATCACTTTTACTAATATAACCCTTTAATTCTTTGTAATTTTACATAGTGAGGCACTAAGTGACTAATATATCCCTGAATTTTGATTTGTTTCTTCAATAAGCTATTGAATTATATATCTATTTTAAAAGTTGATAACTTTTGTATTTCTTATCGGTTTTACATATATAATATATCAAATTAATCATCTTTTGATGATCTTCGATTTGACATCCATATTGTATATATGAAATAAATAAATTATATTTATCTTTATAATAATAAAAAATAATAATATTAATTAAAATTCATTAGAAAAATAAAATTATTTCTCAATTGATATATTTATATGTAATGTAGTTATATATTGTAAGTTAAAAAAATTAGTATAATATAACACAAGTAAGTTGCACAAATAAAAAATGTCATAATAAATATATAATAATGTATATATTCTTATAAAAGGTATTTAAATTTTCAAACTACTTTTTTTCATTAATTTTAGATTTTAAGAAAAAAAATTAACAAACACCCGTGTAATACACGGGTATTGTACTAGTACATTTATAATTCAATAGCTAATTGAAGGAAACAAATCAAAAGTCAGGGATATATTAGTCACTTAGTGTCTCTGTAAAATTACAAAGAATTAAAGTGTTATATTAGTACAAGTGATATTAAAATACCTAAGTTAGCTAAATAATATTTATGGAATGTCCGAACCTAGATATTAATTATTAATATATCAATATTATTTGTCCGAACCTAATTACGAAGCATGATTCTTTGTCAAGTAGGATTCCGAAGCACCAGAAGCAACCACGTAGGCTCGACGCATTCGGGAATTATATATAGAGGCGATTAACCAATTAACCATGCAATTTACATAATTTATATGATCTTCTAGACTACTTAAATATAGATGGGTTGGGCTTAGCCGCTGAGGGAGGGCGTAAAATTATTAATATATGTACTTATATTTATCATGTACGATACATCAATAATATTTTCTTACACACGGTGGATACATGTTAATATGTCCACCGCTTATGTGACATGCACACAACACATTAGTAATGTACTTTTTTGTACATATTAACATCACCAATGTATACATGCCACATAAGCGATGAACATATTAACATGTGTCCACCGTGGATATGAGAATATTACTCTATGATACATTATATTAAGTGAGTAATGCTCACCCACCTACGGTGGGCACATGTTAATATGTCCACCGCTTATGTGGCATGCACACATTGGTGATGTATTTTTTTGAATATATTAACATCACAAATGTGTGCATGTCACATAAGCGGTGGACATATTAACATGTGTCCACCGTGAGTAGGTGAACATTACTCTATATTAAGTATAGATCAAATATAAAAATCAATCAAAATATAATATATTCTTTTTTTTTTCAACGATGAAATAAAATATATTCATAATTGCTACACTATATTTATTATTTAACAAGCTCTTTGAAAAAAAATATATAATATAATATTTTCGATGTATATTCTAACCTTACTTTATTATATTTTTTATAAGGAAATTAATAATATATAAAATAATAAATATATAAATATATATTATATAATCCAAATTGCCTAGTAGTTCACATTTTATTTTTCCTTTTTGTTTTTATTAAGTATTTACTTTGTTTCTTCAAAGGAATTTCCCCGAAATCCAAAGTCCAATGACATTTTCCACACGCTTAAGACCCTTAATCACTTTGACTACTTCAAACGCAAGACACAAAATTTCTCACTTATATAAATTGCAACAATGTCTTGATGATGAACAAATTCAATTTAGGTACACACAAACACATAAATCCCATAAAAGGGAAAAAAAAAAAGTGAAAAAAAAAGCAAAATTGCTATTTATCAAATGGAGGATTCACTAGCAAACATTATTTCATTTTTTCTTGTTTTTCAATTCAAGTCTCTAAAGTGGGAAATTGAGAATTTCGTCCCAAAATTACATTTTCTCCTCCAAGCATTTTCCAGCAAATGGAATAATAGCTTCTGGGGCAAATTGCAAATTTCAAAAACTTCAGGGTCATCCCAGGCGCCAACGGAGAATAAGGAAATTTCGAGGGGTGAAAAGGTGAATCTGGAGATAACCGATGCCAGTTTGGTAGTTAACAGACTGGGAATCGGGGGTGGATTGGAGGATAATGGGGAATTCGGGGGCTTTTGTGAAAAAAATCTGTTGGCATTGTTCGACGAGGTGGAGCCGAGTTTGGAGGAAATTAAGGAAACTTTTGGGGCGTTTGATGCAAATGGAGATGGGTTTATAAATGGGAGCGAGTTGCAAATAGTTTTTTGTAACTTGGGGCTGAAGTGCAATTTGGAAGAGTGCGGTAGGATGATTGAAAAATTCGATTGCAATGGAGATGGACTGATTGATTTTCGGGAGTTCGTGAAATTGATGGAAAATTGTTTTTGTTGAGGACTTAGATGTGATTATTTTCTTGGGCACGATTGTTTGCGTCAGATTAGTGTGCACATTAATTATAGGTGCTTTAATAAATATTATGGATTTAGAAATACTTAATTAGGTATTTGTGTTTTTCCTTTTTTTTTCCCTTTTTTTATTTTTATTTTTTGGTTTTATGGATATATTCATCAATTCAAGCAGCTAACCGAGATCGTTTGTCAAACCAGCTGATCCGAGCTTGTTTACGAACAACTCACTTTTATTTTTGAATATATTTTAAATAAAAGATTCGAACCAAACTTGTTTACCAATAGTTCATTTATGATTTTGAGTTTATTAAATAAGTCGAGCTTTCACGAGCATAAACGAGCCGAGCTCAAGTTGAATCATTTTGAATTAAATCAGCACGAGCTCGAACGAGGTCTACTAGACTCGACTCGGTTAACATCCTACCGATCGACGAATTATTCAGTGTGTACGTATTATTTATGGGCTTTAATTTGTTATTTGGGTCTGTCTCTATTTGAACTACTTTACCCATTGCTTTTAGTTTCCTTGTGTTGGGTTTCATACATTATAGAGGAATTTGCACCCCTTACTTTAAGTTCTGAAATATATTACACTTGTACATCTATTATAGTAATATTTATAAATTTACTAGAACATGAATAAAATATTACACTTCTATCTAAAATTTATTTTGTTTTATTTTTAATTTCTCTTTCCTCTTTCTTATATTCTTCTTCTCTCTCACTTGTTCCACTTTTCCGTAACTTCCTTCTTCCCCTTTCTTTTTTCTCCTGTCTCTTCTTCTTCTCTAATTATTTCTGTATTTTTTTCTTTCTCAAATTCACAGACACAAAACTCCAACCACTCTCCACAATTGTTCGTCAGGGGTCCTCCTCATGAAATCCCACCGGGTCTTGTCGCGACTGTTCGAGACGACGGATACCCAAGGAGTGGAAGCACGGGTGCGAGACGTTTACTCGCTGCAGATCTGTTTTTTTTTTTTTTTNNTTTTTTTGTGGATGATGAACTATGGGATTGATATTTGGTTGAGTCAGGTTTCTTTATGCTTGTGACTCAACTCTACTGCCTATTGGTGGATATTAGAGGAGACTATAGAGGGTTTCGATTGAAAATTTTGTTGATTTTTTGGATTTCGATCGATTTCTGAGTTGGGTATATGTTGGGTATATCCGAATATATCCGAAGTAACTTTTCTCTGGTTATCTGTTTAATAATTCATTTTCTTCTTGGGTTATATGTTCGGTATATCCGAGTATATCCGAAGTAACTTTTATCTGGTTATCTGGTTATCTAGTGGGTATATCCGAGGTAACTTTTCTCTCTATCCGAAGTATCTTTTCTCTTTCTATGCTATACACTTTGTCACTGGCTTTCTGCACCTGCTACACATTTTTAGTATATTTGAAGTATATTTTTGGTGTATGTCAGGTAACTGAATATATACATTGAATATATACTAACATAAACTCAAAATATACTACATGGCGGCTGCTTGAATTACAATGTACAAGTTGCGTGAATTAATGAATTAATAAATGAATCAGTTATTATTTTTCTTTTCTCTCTCTTAATCAAGTCCACAAAAAAGGGGGATGGAAGTTGAATATATATGGTAACTGCTATTGATGCAATCTCATAAATAAATTAGCTTCATTAGGTATAATTTAAAATACTTTTATATGAAGGTAAATTTAAAAATATTTGTATATCTTATAGGAGGACTAAAAATTTCCCTACATTATATCACGTAATCCAACAGTTGTAAACACTTAACTCAGACCAATTCCATTGGGCAATTTGCATTTATACGGTAAGGAATTTAAAAGAATTGCATAAATACAAAAATAAAAATTTATTTGCAAATATGCCTAGTTTAACAAAATTATTTGGATAACTACTGTCAAACAAAAAATAAACAGTTCACATCATAAGATTCACGTAACTGACAGTATTCTTTCATTAATTAAAAAAAAAAAAAACAAAATCTGAACTATACAATCACAAGCAACGTCGTCCATCACGAGTAGCGTCAATCACAAGCAGCGTCGTCCATTTTCTGATCAACGAGATGGTGGAGAACACAACATATACAAAAAATATACATAATATAAACTATATATATACGACAAATATACAATATGTCGATCCTTATAATTTTCAATTCAAATCTTTCATACGAAAAAACCAAACTATACACACTCTAATAGTGTGATATGAAAGAAAATATACAGTATATATACATGCAACTACACAAACAACAAAAAGGTATAAATATACTACATATATACGACATATATACTGTCTGGTGGAGATGAAAATCGCGAGCAAGGAGATCGACGCCCTAGGTCACGGTCGTCCTTCATCTCCTCACGCCGCCTTAAACATTCGCGAGCAGGGATCCGAAATTTCAATACACACATAAGGCAGTGGCCGTTCGTGACGTGGATCGACTACAATTCCTGCAGGATTCTCGTATTCGGCACGAATCTTGTAGGGAAGCTTCATCGCCGGGAAACTGTAGGGAAGCTTCATCATCAGAAAGAAGAAAAATTGAAAAAAAAAGGGTTGATCGGAAATCAAGTATTGATGTGTTATATATGTGATTTGTGATTTGATTAAAAAGCTTGTTGACGAAGGTGGAAAAAATTGGGAATGACGATGACTTACAGAGTGTGTTTCTCTCTTTGATTTTGAGTGTGTTAGATTTTGGATTTGGGAAGTTATAGGTGTCTGCAAATCGATGAGAAGAAGAAGAATGTTAGAATTATAGGTACGTAAATATCCAGATTTTCACACAAATATCAGAAATT